TAACCAGGTGTACCTTAGGGTCACCAGTGATGTAACCAGGTGAACCTTAGGGTCACCAGTGATGTAACCAGGTGAACCTTAGGGTCACCAGTGATGTAACCAGGTGTACTTTTGGGTCACCAATGATGATATGTGAAACTTCTTTATGGCGCCACATGGGGATGTTGGTGATGAGGCTTAAGGCTTCAGTTGGGCATGCTCTGATAGGATGTGACATCGGGGCATAGTAGCTTAGTTTAATATGTTATTATTTTAATAAACTTTAATTTCTCTTCTTTTGTAATTTCTAACGAAGAGATAATTATAATTCAAGGAAAATATATGTTAAGAATTGTAATTTGAACGTTCTTGATAAAAGACCAAGATGTACATTTTTGTTATATTTTTATTATATGATTTGGGAGTATAAATTAATTCCTAACCAGGAGGCACTGCCACCTTTACTGGAGTTAATTTATATTTCCTTTATTATTATTTGTATATATATGATTTCTTGTTTTACACTAAATTGTATTGAAAATCTTAACTTCTTTTCTTTTATAATTTTTACACTGGAGTTATGATTTATGAGTTACGAATGTGAATCTTCTACCTTGTTATATTTGAAATATTTGTCAACTATGAAAGATTTTATTTTCTCAAAAAGAAGAAAAGAAATATTTTATTGTTACATTTGTTGTATATTAATAATGGGGTAGAGGGTGTAACACCCCACAACGTGACTGGAAACGCCCACGACCCTCGCCGGAAAGCAAAGTCACCAGAAACGACCACAAACCTCGCTGGAAAGCAGTGACCTCAAACACCCTTCGTATCTCTGTTCTATACGAATGCCGCACACGAAGAAGACGAAGTGCATATGGGGAAATTAAAAGGCCATTTTATGTCGGACTACATCTGGGGCCGACATAAAATGGAAAATCTACGTCGGGTGTGGATAATGTCCTACGTAGATGTTCACATTTACGTCGTCCTCTCAGTTGTCTGACGTAAAAAAATTTGCTTTATTTTCAAAATTGCCACCGCATTTTTTTAACGTCAGGTGCTTTTATGTCTGACAAGAATACGCTGACATAAATTTTATATTTTGCACTAGTGTGGTCATATATGTAGATGTACACTCTCGCACATGTGATAAACATGTAAACTTGTAATGAAAAAAAAGGTAATTATATAAAAAAATATTTTAAATACTGATAATTTATTTTTATTTTATAAATTTAGTAATATATGTATATATATATATATATATATATATATTAATTTTTATTATATTAGATAAATAAATTTATTTTTAAATTATACTTTACTCAATATTATTAAAATTTAAATTTAGAAAAAATATAAGAGAAAAAATGAATCATTTTTTATTAAAAGAAATATTCATACTATATTGATATACATTATAAATAATTTCTTTTAATATAATTATCATTTTTTTCATTACAGATTTATATGTTCACCACATGTGCATGAGTGTACGTCTATATACATAACTAAGATAAATTAAATGTTAAAGTATATTTATGTACAAATCATAAATTTAATAAAAAATTATTTGTATAAATAAATATTTTAAATATTATCAAAATACAATCGCTAACATAATTTTAGCCACTAAAATAATATTACTATAGATGCTTACTTTTTTATTTATAACTATACAAGAAAATTGTTTTTATTTATAACCATATAAGAAAATTGTAATTATGATATTCCATAATTATTTTCCTAAAATCAAAATTTTAACAATGCTTTTTTTAATAAGCGATGGACCTCAGTTTTTTTATGATGTTTTTCTTAATTTGACAAATTAATAAAGTATACCGGTGTGGATTAAACTTATGAGTGAAAAAAAAAAAAAAAAACTCTTATTCCTTTAGTTTCGTCTTGATTTTCCTTTATTAAAAGTGATTTTGCAAAATTTGAGTTTAACCCTATTAAAATGAACTTTGTTCACCTGATTTTACTTCCACCTTAAAAATAGACATACATCCACTGTATGTTCAAGTTAATTAATATCTTCAAAGTATAGAATTCAGATCTTAACATGACATATTTTTTTATTATAAAATAGTTTGTCTGCTCATTCATCTTGTGTTAAACATTGTTGAAAACTTCGAAATTTGGAAGCTGGCAGAAACTTGGCCACCTAGCTTCTGCATAACTTATGATGTTCAAATTTCAACAATGTTTACCATACATGTATTATGACCAAATAATCAATGGCTTGTTCTCAGTTGCAACAAAATAATTTATTGAATCTGGCTTTATGTATCTATTATAGGTATGATCTCAAAGCTATTCTTGAAAGAACATGACATAATACCAGGTGATTCATATAGCGAATCGGACATTATCAGAGTCATAGAAAATGTTACAGGTGTTAAGTTGGAAGTTATATGTAATTCTGCTAATCAGTTAACTGAAATAAGATTGTGCTTGAAAAAAGACAAACCTCCCTGTTCATCAATTGTACTACTCAAACGGTGAAACAAAAAATTAAATGTAAACAAAATGTAGACTTTATAATTTAATTTATATTTAAAGAAATAAAAATTAAATAATTTGTGTTAAAATATTTTTTTTTAATTGCTACTGATAGATTAAATAAAATCCATTCATTCAATTGAATTATATATATATATATATATATATATATATATTTATTTATTTATTTATTTATTTATATTTGTCATGTACTTTTATTTGACTTGCTTATTATGTTTATGACATGGACATGATATACGAGTTTTTGATTTTAAGTTACATGTCATCCACCTAATGTTTGAGTTTTACTATGAAGACCGTATGTGACACAGCATAATCACTTTTGCTGGGATAAGTCAGCAACTGTTTTCTGTCTTGTCACACCAAAAATTTTCTGAACGGGAAATTTTAATATACAATACAATTAAAATAAATTTTAATTTGAACTATGAATCTGCTGTATTATGAAGCTAAAACATAAATGGTGAGCTACAAATTTTAATGGTTAGCCATGAAGGTGAGACTAATTGGTAGCTTGAAAATTCAAAAGGAAAATAAAAGATTTTAGGAAAGGTCACGTAAGAGGTAAAGCGATCAAATTTATTCATCCTCCAAGCTATCACAACCCTCAAAACTTACGCAGCTGCACTCGGTACTGTAACTGATTTTGAGTCTTCTGCCCGTTCATGCTCTTTGTTAAGCATCTGAAATCACATTACAATATTAAAAGACACGAATCACAGTATATCAGTGATGACTTAGAAACATTTCACTAGATAAGCTTGTCTCATTTTTATAGATATAACCCATGTACCCAGTAAGGTGTAAGCAGAGAACGAGTTCATCAAGTGCCTAGCTTACCGAATACTAAACCTGACTACACAAACGGAGGACTAATTTTCTCCAACCTTGCAAAATTATTATTTTTCATAATATCATAACAAATTCTAAATATGAAGTAATCAACAACCATCGATGATACTTGCAGAAGAATTCAGGGGAGTGTATCTCACCTTGTTGTTAATCAAGTTGTGGAGTGCTATTACACTTCTGATGAGAGATGAGAGGTATATTACTAGCATCATATCATTTGTTTTCACTACACATGGAAGACAGATCAACAATTTAATATGGATATTCTAGAAGAAAAAAAATGATATTAATCAAGTCACAAATCGTAACCTGCGAAAGCCTTGATAAGATCAGCAACATTAAGATTTGGTAGCAGGTTAAACACGTCCTAACAAATTGCAACGAGGAAATGAAATGGTTAAAAACAATAATACAGCATAAGCATAAAAATAAAATTGAAACAAAATGTTTCTATTATTCCTGCCAGCCATTTGCTACGTATCACATGGTTTCCTGTTTTTTTACAAAAGAGCCAAACAATCAGCATTTACTAAGCAAGAATATGAGAAACAAACCTGCAGATGGTACAGGATCTCATGGTTTAATGGAAGCTTTCCATCAATAACAAGGTCAAGGTAACTCCTTATCTCTTTAAGCCTTGCATCCAAACCCTTCAAGGCTGTGAGTTTTGCACTTACCTATGTAAAAATTATGTTGTCCACACTCGGCATCAATAAGGATAAGTTACAGCAAAAAAACATACAACAGAAAACAAAGGAAAAGGAATAAATAAATAAGAATAACTTAAAAGGGAAAAATAAAAACCTCTGTCGCAAGGGTGCTAATGGTTGTATCCTTCACATCTCTAAGCAAGTGTTCCACTCCTGCACAAGGGTATGAAGAATTAAAAAAAAAAGAAAAAAAAAAGGAGAAATTGGTTGCACATCTGTATGGATAAAATTTAGAATTTTCACATTATAGTAGTTTTAGGTTCATTGGCATGAAATACCTATTTCCTCAACTTCATGAGCAGCAATCTCTGATGGCACGTGCACAAAGACCTTTTGACTTTTTTGAGTAGCATTCTGTATTCAGAATAAACTATGTTGAGAAAACACTAGCTTCCTTCCCACCATCATATACACTTTATCAAAGACATAAAGGACTTGTGTTCTACCTCTTTAACCTCTTCAACAGCATAATATGCTTTTGTTGGGATTCCCAATTCCTTAGGTTCAACATCAATTATGACCAAAACAGGATTTGGAACATAGCTGCAACAGTTTTAAGCTTTGATCAATTTGGATAAAGATTAATCAGGTATACAAAACAACAGATGACTACAATAAATACATAAACAGGCAAAGATGTTTCAATCAATATATGACAATGATATTGATGAGGGTAAAAAGGTAAGGAAGTTGCGAAGCCACTTTATATTTTGAAGTAAGACAGGGAAATATAAATGCTCAAATTAAGTGAAGAAAACAAAGCATAGAAATATCACTCCACAGTCCACAAGAATTCGGCCAAGGTAGTTAAAATCAGGGAGGTAAAATTGCAAATAATAATAAAATCACAAATCAAATCATAAGAGTTTACAAAATTCATAATACATACATATTCATAATCCGTATCCTATAAATGTCATGCATCATATTCGTAAGTCAAAACTCATAAAGTAGTAAAAAACTAAACAATTCCAAAAACACAAGGACACAACACATACATTACAATTAATAAAACTAGGAACACCAAAAACACAGGCTCAAACAGAGGAAGAAGATGAAGAATAGCAATGGCCCAAAGCCTCAGAAAGAGGAAAAACAATGGACAGAAGGGTTCTCACAACAATTTGGGTTACCAAGAAAAAAATAAAAAGTGGATCAGTAACAACAAAAGAATCAGGTCAAACATCCAAACAGGTTACCAAGAAAATCTCAAAATCAAAGATAGCATTTCAAAAAAAAAATTTAATACATCTTCATAACCTATATTACATAAATGTCATCCAAAACACATGCACACCACACATTACAACACGTAAAACTTGAACACCAAAAACGGAGGATCAAACAGAGAAAGATGGACCAAGAACAGTAATGGCTCAGATGGAGGACAACAATGGCCCAAAGCCTCAGACAGGAAGAATGGAAGAATAACAAAGGACTGAAGGAGAGAATGGTTCACACAAGTATTAGAGTTTGCTGATTCACCAAATCAAACAAGAGAATGGTGCAGTGTCTGTGTGAGTAATGAGAGAAAAATAAACTGGTCGGCAAAAAATGAATCAGGTCAAAGTCATGCATCCAAACGGATCACCAACAAAATAGCAAAACTGAAGGATTTTAGTGATTTTGGGATTTACATCCTAATATTAGAAGGATTTTACCGCAACATGGATTTTAACTACAATTTGGATTTGAATTGCCTAAAGGGATTAAAGTCATAAAACCGTGGATTTTACGGTTTGAATCCAGATGTTAACTACCATGAATTCAGCTCAATAAACTTACTCATTAAATAAGCCATGAATGTCAAGGTCATTTTCACGCAGTTTTGGACCTGTGCTATACCACCCGACGACATGCTCCTTTGCTGTAAATCACACAATAAAGGAACATGTTCAATAATTAGATCAGATATATTTAATCAAAAAAGAAATACAAAAGGAAAATTTTCCCAAGTGATACCATTTATTCTTTTAAACATGGAAAACATGGATTCGTGGTAATTGTGGTCAAGAAACCAGATGCTTGGATCCTTGTCATCTTCTTCAAAGGGCACTGTCAATTCGATAACCAAGTAGTGAGAGAGAGAGAGACAATTCACACACTCCATTTCGTGTTGACATGCCTAAATCGCGCAAAGAATCACTCCAACAAAATTCACATTGGAAGCAGCAATGTTATACGTTAAATTGGATATCCAACGTGGTAAACATACCAAAATGAAGCAAACTAGTGTGAATAATGTTATACATAATACATAATAATCATGGACACCCTTTGCTCTCATGATATACAAAGCTCGAACTTAGTACCTTGTGCATCCTAACCCCACCACTAACGACTAACGACAAGGGCAAGCCTGATTTGTGATTCAATAGGTCAGAAATTGGGGAAGCAGTGGGCAAGGGGTAATTATAGTATTATTAATTTTGAGAAAGTGGTATTAGGTCTTGACATAGATGAACAATGAGTGAAGGAACATAATTGAAATAAAAGAAAAGGGTACTAAAGTATAAGATGGAGAAGAAGAATTAGCAATGCGGAGGTTGGAAAGGAAAAAGGATAGATCGGCACCGGCGTAGCTGTTGGTGACGTCGACGGTGCCTTTGAAGGAGGAACCGAGCAAGACGCCGACGACGCGTTTGCGAGTGTCTTTGGCGACTCTGTTGTAGTTGTCGACGATGCTAAGCAAGACGAGCGGGTGAACTACCACCTTCTCGATTGGTCGCGACGAGATTTGCTGCGTCTTTATCACATCCATTGCAATTCTTTCTCTCTTCTCCCTTCTATTCTTTTCTTCCTCTGCTTGGCCTTCTTTTCTTTTCCTGTTCCATTTCTCCTCTTCTTATTTAATGCCTCTAACTCCTTTTTCTTTTCTTTCTTTTCTTTCCACACTCCACTCTTTTCTGCCCATTGCCCAAGTATTCTTGGGCCTATGGGTCGGTTTCCAATGTCTCGTTAACGATCCACTGGCCCAATTATTATATTTTAAAATTATTTATATAATATAATAAAAAATATAAATATATATTATTAAAATATAAATAAATAAATAACTTTATAAAATAAAAACAAATAATCAATATTTAAAATATTTTTTATAGAATTATTTTTTTTTATTATAAATTTATAAATTTAGATGTGTGCATAAGTGTACATCAATATACATGCATATATTTTCATGATTTCATTACTTTTTAATTAAAATAAAATAAAGTCAAAATTAATCAACTGTGACATGTATCTAATGTATCATGTAGATAGGTTGTTTTTACAATTATATCCCATATCCTCTTGGTCAAACAAAGCAACCTTCTTAGAATTAACCATCAAAAGTTAAAAAAAAAAAAGAAAAATTGAAATCTACGAATGAAACTGTTGTGGATCGTGCTATTTATGCCCACAATACAAACATTAGCAGAACTACGATAAATCATTAACCTTAATTGTATTAAATAAACAGACCGACCCTTAGTTTTAAAAGGATAATTACATAATACAATATTGTTATTTGACTAAGTACTCTTGTGAATTATATATGTTGATATATGATTCTAGTTCATTATGTAATGTCTTAATTTTTAGATACAATATTCTCAATTTTATTATCATACTCTTCTTTAAATAGTAATCTAAATTTTGTTATTATAATAAAGATATATATATATATATATATATATATATATATATATATATATATATAATATAGAAGAAAAAGAATTAGTATGATACAAAACGAAAATAAATTTTAAAGTATCATATTTTAAATCCCCCAATAAAATTATATATATTTTAAAGAAAATATAATAATAAATAAAATTATCTAAAATTCAAATATGGATAATAATATTTTAGATTTAGATCAAACTTTAAATCAACCATCTGTCTTCCGATACATCATTTAAATTTTATTTAAATTTCATAGTGTCATCGTCTTGCTTTCTATTTGCAACCTGTTTCAAGACATTTTATTGAGTAATTGTCTCCTTAAATTTTCAGGACATGTTAGATGACAGTGTTTATGTATTTTAACAGGCGTTTAAAAAATAAATAAATAAATACATTTCTTAGAGATAAAATAAATATTTATAAATTTATATAATTTTGTGAAATTAATTAAAGATATTATTTTAACAGGCGTTGTAAGAATGTTGATATTCCCTCCGTTTTATTTTCATAGTCATTTTGTCAGAATTTATTTATTTTTATTGTCATTTTACTAAATCAATGACGTATTAATTTTTTTTCTTCATTTTTACCCTTGATAATTAATACATGTTTACTGAATAATTGTGTATTGATTTTTAATGTCGACCTATTTTTTCTGCAACTACCCATATAAAGTTAATGTGCATTTATAAGAACAATATGTTCCTAACAAAATACTATAAAAAAATAAAAAAAAGGGACAAGTATAATTAAATATAGTAGATTACAGTTCACGTGTAATCAATGTATTAGTAATTAATGGAGTAGATTGCAATTCAACAGTCTCAAAAATGTTTAAAAAAAAAGGGTAAAATAGGAAAGTAAGTAATAAATATTTTTGAAAACTAAAATATTAATGATTTCTTTAAGTCCCGTGCAAAACCTTAAACGACTATGAAAAAAAAACGGAGGGAGTATTTTTCTTATACGTAAGTGACTTCCGACTTCCGAATCTAACTTTATTTTCAATGACCATATTTTCTATAAAAAAATTTAACATTTTTTCCTCAAAATAAAATATTGGTGACGATTTCATAAAAATATTTTTACCTCATTATCGTCATGATTCTAGTTGCGACACTAAATATTGCATGATTTTCAATTATAAATAAGTTAATCTTCTTATTCATTTCATGTTAAACTTTTATTATCATTTTCTTCATTCTAAACTTAAAACTACCATGAAATTCATATCTCTTTTTTTTTTTTTTCTTTCACGCTTCCATTATTGGAAGTTGGGAGAAATTTGGTCACCGACTTTCTGCATGAACGCAAATAATACGTAAATATTATTTCATAACAAAGAATAAGGATGATGAGAATAGAATAATCAAAAATCTCGAAGAAGAAGAATACGAGTCAAGGAACAAGGTTCTTGATGAAGAGAAACAAACTTCAACAAAAGAAATAAAGAAATTGACAAAAAAAACACAAAGCTGAATATGTCAAAAAGAATGAATCAAGATTATGACTACAATGAATATTTTTATGTATACGTACACATATATACACATATACACAAACTAACAAATTAACTTCCTAACTTATAACAACAAAATGACTAACTAACTTAGATATTTTTACATTCCGTACAGGAGTATTTTCCTATAAGAGATTAAGAGTAATCAAAATGATATTTGAGAATAAGGATGAATGTATGATGCATGATTGCATGCTAAACAAGATTAAGAGTAATCAAAATGATATTTGAGAGTAAGGATGAATGTATGATGCATGATTGCATACTAAACAAACCCATTTTTCTGGGAAATGAACATCTCCATTTCGGTAAATATCAATGAGACACGTGACGAGATTGAATTTGTTTTAACAAGTATTGGTAGTGGGTCTTCTTGTTTTGGGTTTTTGACCAACCAAATTATTGAGAAAGATACTCGCCATTAAAACTAAACTTTTTTATCCAAGTGTCATTATCCAGAAGTAGGAATCGGATATCTCCATTGCTCTCCAAATGGAGAGGATCCAGACTCGTAAAGGGTCATGTGAAATTATAATATATCTATAAAAAAAAATACTTTATTTTTTATAAATTATAATTGTTTTAATAGGATGACAATTTCTCTTTTATCTCTCTCAGTTTGAGATTGTTTTCAGGTATGTGTTTGTGTTTTTGTGTCACCACCTATTTTATTAAAAGGGATGCTAAAAATTAGAAACATAAAAAAAAAGTAAAATTAGTATTAATTTATTCTTTTTCCTTTATCTTGTACAACACTTTCTACATTCATTTAAAAAAATTGTTTTATGAAGATAATACCTGTATTGTTGTGAAATTTTTTTTATTAAAAATATTTAAGTTAAAAATAAAGCTTTAATTTGTGAGTCTTTCAACGTGAATTCACACTTTTTTTTAGCTTGCATGCTTGCTGTGTCAGTGATCATCCATTCTATTAGAATTGGTAAATTATTATCTTAAGATCCAAGTACATTACATGCTATTAATTATTTAAATAATATAAAATAGATAAAATTTAGTTGCTTTCATTTATCACAGCTAATGTATTACAATTATTTTATTGAAGAAAATTAATTAATCTAAATTCAATTAGTAATAGTACCCGGTCGTATAAAATTTACTAAATTAATTAAATATATTGAATTCGTGTCACTACAAGAATACAACGAAATAGTTGTAAAAAATAAGTGTCAGTTAATAGTTGTTGCAAATATTATTGAAAAAGTTGACGCTATTTAAAGATATAGTGTTTATTTTTTCGATACTAAATTTAAATTGAGTTTAGTGTTGGAAAAATCAACATTATATTTAATAGTGTCGGCTTTTCTAACACTATACTTAATATTAAGTTAGTGTCGACATAACTGACGCTATATTTAAAGAATAGCGTCAATTTTTCTGACACAACTCAATTTAAATTTAGCATTAGAAAAGCCGACACTATTTCTAAAGAATAATGTTGATTTTTTCAACACTATACGTGCTTTGAGAGGGATAAAAATGATTTTTTAAATCTTATATATACACATAATGTATGATGGTGGTTATCAAGTTCCCTTAACATGTTAAGGTTCCAGGATCGAGTATCAATAATGCTAAAATTACGAACGAATAAATGATAAATTAGAAAAAGAAGATGAAGAAAAAAATAAAATAAATTTTGTGTCGACGTAGTGTCGGCTTAACCGACAATAAAAAATTAAAATAAATAAAATTGTTACCGATCGCTTAACCGACACAAAAAAAAATTATGTCGACCTATAATGTCGGCTTAATCAATAATAAAAAATTAAAATAAATAAAATTGTTATCGACAGCTTAGCGGATACAAAAAAAAAATTGTATCGACTTATTTAATGTCAGCCAAAAACTGACAAATAACTGACAATATTATGTTGATTTTTATTATTTAGAATCAGCTTTTGACCAATTCTAAAACGAAACATTTTTGTAGTGTGTATTTTGTAATAGACTATTTATTATGTATATTATATACTATTGAGTGTAACAGGTTGTTTAATTAACCTCTTAAATTAACTTTTCCACTGTATTAATTCTTTATTATTTAGGGATTAAGTTACTCAGAGGGCTAGGGACATTAGTTTGCCACATAACGGTTTTATACCATATATATGATCAATAAAAGAAAGTAGTTAATAGTTAGTATTTACAAAGCATTGTAACTGTTTAAACCGTTGAAAAATAACTTAACAATTCCAATCATTTGTGACGGTTACTATAATCGTCAGAATTATAACATTCCGGAGGTTTTTATAGACAGCTAGAAATAAGCCACCTGAGTAAGCTTTAAATATAAAATATATTTTAATATTATATGTACATTTTTATTTTTTTAAAAACAACATAAATATCAGTGATACATTAATTGTTTAGGCCCGTCTCTTTTTTTTTTAACTAACATCTAGTTTCAAAAGTTTTTTTTTTTATAAATTTAAAATGTTAATAAACTATTTCAACCATTTGCACTCTCATGTACTTTAAGTTAGAAAATTATCTACTATAAAATCAAGTGAACATAAAATCAAGGAAACGGATTCTCATTTATCCATTGTTTGTGTTATCAACAATTCAACATGTTTGTATCTTTCTTGTGAATTTGGTTTTTTCATTGGTGATAGCTTTGCACCTTACTTTCCAAATTGCGAGCTTAATTTTATAAAGAATTTTGATCCATTCAATTA